AGACTTTAGTTCCCATTACGTACTCTAAATACGAACTTTTAAACAACTCTGGTGAGTAATGTCGCTAAAATCATCAAAATATCGAATATAGGGAGGTACCGATATATCGGGACTATACGAAGACCTGGACCTGCATAGTCAATTTTCTGTCACAGGCTGTAGTACCTACTAGGAACTTCAAATACGAAATTTCAAACAATGTCGCTAAATATTGTTTCCAAAATCGTCAAAATACCGAATATAGAGAGATGCTGACATATGTGGCCTATTCGAAGACCTCGACCTCCATAAACAATTTTCTGTTTTAGACTGCAGATCCTATTACTCTAACTCTAAATACGAAATTTGAAATAACTCTGGTGAATAATGTAGCTAAAATCATCAAGATACCCAATATTTGGAGGTACCGTTATATGGAGGCTATCCGACGACGTGGGCCTGCATAAGCAAGTTTTTTGTCATAGACTATAGGGTAAGTGTACCAGTAGTCGGCACTTTTAGGATTTTCGCGTTTTTAATCGCTCACCATTCTGAGTGGAACATTTCAATTATTACAAAGTTAATTTATTCAGATTCGAAATTTTGTATAGTTTTTGCAATAATAAATAAAGTTTTAAGAACTTTTTATTAAATTTCATAAATTTGTTGTTTTATTAAAACAATGCTTTTTTGCCAGTATTCGGCACCACTTGCCAATTGTCGGTATGGCATTTTCCAATTTTTCGGCATACCAATTTTTTTGTAAGTATAATTAATAATAATAATAAATTAATTCATTTAAATATAATATTTTTGTTTAGTTAAACTGATTCGACGTCTTTATTGTACTTTTCTTAAGAATATGGGTTGTTGAGGACCTTCACAGACAAAAATTTAATTTTTATTAGAATAAATTATCTTTTCTTAGCGAAATTGTACACAAAGATAGCTGACAATATTTTTGAAGTAAACAAAATACATTTAGTTACAATAGTTTCATTTATTTGGGCTTAAAAATGAAAAGTGCCGACTACTGGGACATGCCGAACTTAGGCACACTTACCCTAGTACCCATTACAAAATCTAAATACGAAACTTGAAATAACTACGGTGAATAACGTCAATAAAATCGTCAAAATGTCGAAGATGGGGGGAGGGGTACCGTTGTATGTGGGCTATACAATATCGTGGACCTGTATAGACATATCTCTTTCAGGAGGTAAAGTGCTTAGAAATAACTTCTAGAACTGTATTTTTAGGCAATTCCATTGGAAAATGTAGCTAAAATCATCAAAATACTGAATATGGAGAGGTACCGTTATATGGGGGATATACGATATCATGGACCTATATAGACAATACTCTTTCAGGATGTAAACTGTGACAAAAGACTGATTTAGACTTTAGCTTCCTGTCTTTATTCATTTTGACCCTAGCGTGATTACAACAGAAGGACGAACGGGCAGGACTAAGTCGTTATAGAATTTATAATATATAAGAATATATATACTTTGTTATGTCTATTATTTTATTATTTTGATGAGTTACAAACGGAATGACGAAGTTAATATACCCTCCATACTATTTATGGTGAAGGGTATAAGCACAATACATGTATAACAAGGTGGAGCGATAAGAAAACATTAATGTGCGCGTAGCGTTTCTGTTACCTGGCGTTGTATTGAACAAAAAAGTCCGCTATACTATAAGTCTAAGGTGAAAATAAAGAAATAGAGTTTTTTTCTCAGACTTCATTTATTTATTTATTTATTTATTTATTTATTTATTTATTTATTTTTTTTTTTTTTGGAAAACATAAAAATTTGACTTGCTTTCAAGTCAATTGTCCCGGGCTACAATTTTTCTGAACGTATAAATTACCAACGACTTCGTTTTCATGGCCAAAAAGTCGAAAATTCAAATTCAAAATTCAAATTTTAATTGTTTAAATATTTAGTCAAGACAAGACACAAGACATACTTTCTAAAGGAGACTTGTAGTTATTATCCCGGAGACTTGTAGTTATTATCCTCAGAGACTACAATTTCTCTGAACATATTATTCATGAAAAACTTTGTCTTTATAATTAGAAATATCCAAAATTCGACACATTTTCCATATTTTATACCCTCCACCTCCAATAAGTATGTCAAATTTGATCGAAATCGGTTCAGATATAGCTATAGCTTCCATATATATTGTTATTTTTGTCCTCCGCAGCCGTAATATGCACTCTGTAACAACAATATTTGGGGAAATATATCAAATACAGCTCAGAAATACATTTGCTAAATTTTATCGAGATCGGTTCAGATTTGGATATAGCTCCCATATATAACTTCGTCCGATTTACCTTTGATTGTGCACCAAACGTCTAATATTTGCCCAAATGGGATGAAATTTGGCACTTACGAACGAATTGAGTCTAGAAGCTAGTGTGTCAAATTTGGTGAACATCGGTTCAGATATAGCTATAGCTCCCATATATACTGTTCATCCGACTTGTTGTATTTGTTACCCTCAGCCATAATATGCACTCCGTAACAACGATATTCAGGGAAATATACCAAATACAGCTCAGAAATATCTTTGCCAAATTTTATCGAGATCGGTTCCGATTTGGATATAGCTCCCATATATATTTTTATCCGATTTCAAATTAATTTCGCACCGAATGGGCAACACCAGTCCGAATTTAAAAGATACAAATGCTTCGGCATATTTAGTCCTTTGAACTTTAAATTATAATTATAATCATAGCGTGTAATATGGAATTCTCCCATAAAAAATTTTAATTATTATGAGCAGCTCTACTAAATTAGCAAAGTGATGTAGGGTATCATAAAGTCGGCCCCGCCCGACTTTAAGACTTTCTTCTATAAAGAAATCACACTATCACGCATGAATTCCATCAAGAATAACTTTTTTTCTGGAAAATTCTCACCAAAATGCTTTTGTTCCCTTGTAAACATTAGTTGTCACTGGTTGTCGTTGTTGTCGGACAAGTGGCTTAGAAATGACAGCAGTCTGAAGTTGGTTGCAGTTTTTTCATCTCACCTTGTATATTCTTGATCTGCATAAAATTCTGTGTTAATTTGGCAATGTCCTTCCATCTATCCGTCTGTTGAAATGACTCTAGCTTCCAAACGAAATGAAGTGGGCTGATAAAAATTTTCTCAAATGTAAATTATGTCTGCAGAAATTTTGTTATTGAAAATGGGCTATGTAGGTCCACGTTGTGGTATAGTTCCTTTTTTCGGTATTTTGGTGATTTAAGCGACATCATTAACCGGATGGTACTTTAAGTTCGTAATGAATGCTACAGCTCAAGACATAAAATTGTCTGTGTAGGTCCACGTCTTCGTATATCCTCCCGATGTTCGGAATTTTGATGATTTTAGCAACATTATTCACCAGAATTGTTTCAAGTTGGGTATTTAAAGTTCGTAATGGATACTATAGCCAATGACAAAAAATTTTTATGCGGATCCACGTCTTCGTTTAGCCCCCATATGACGGTACCTCCCGATATTTTCATGATTTTTGCGACATTATTCACCGTAATATTAACAAATTTCGTATTTAAAGTTCGTAATGGGTACTACAGCCTACGGCAAAAAATTTTGTATGCAGCTGCTTTTTTACTTGTTAAATTTGTACATTTTAATTTTTTTATTTGTACATTGATAACGCATATTATCGGCTGCCCATTCAGCTAAAATTAAAATAGCTGCCGATTGGCCCTAAACAAAAATAGATAGCATATCAAAAAAAGGTAAATGGCAAATTTATATATTTATATAGTTTAAATGTCATCTCTAGGGAAATTTAAGATTAATTGTTTTGTATTCCTGGGAACATATAAAGGGCATTTAAAAGTCGCCTCAAACCAACAAATTAAATTTGTCAGCATGTAATTTAAAAATTAAATGCATTCAAATATGTTATTAAAAAATCTGAATAACATTAATGCATAATAATAATAGCGGTATTGTTTGTGGCGTCTCCAGTAGCTGCCTGGAATATAACACACCAAGTGTACTTAAACAGCAGGGTGACTACTGGTCATATCTTTTTATGCGATCGAAATTTACATACACAAATTACAAATTGCATCGTTATTTTACATGCACTCCATCTGTATTTGCATAACAAATGAAGCAACACCATTTATCGATTCGAACGACGATACATCGCTAAGTACATATGTTGGAAAATGTACGACGACTGAACTAACTAAAGCTATTAACTCTTCTATTACCTTCTATGGATGCAATCTGTAGGCACTTCTGTTCTAATGCAGACACAGACATGTTCCTACAGAGAGATCTTCGCCACAACGGCGGCATGTGGCCAATAGACCCGGAAATGTATACAAGCTGTTAAACTACGAGCCACATCCAACGATAAATTAACCATTTCTATGATGGTGTCGATCGATAGTTAATGGCAAGACTATCATCATCTAATTGAGTATTTAAATAGCATTTTAATATACACGTTTATTGACTACCTCCACTCCACTGCAGTCACTTGACCAAACACCAGACAATGGAATTGAATAGAAGAAAACAGCATTCATAACTACCGAAACAAACATATTGTTGTAAACAAATGTGTGTGTCGCTGCTAATAAATGAAGACATATCAATATTTTGAATTAATGAATGCATTGACAATATCTCATAAATGTCATTTTATTAATTCAACAAATGACAATTAGCATAGGAATATTTAACAATTTTGGGTTGTGTTCAAAATTTAATTTACAAGTAAAATATATAGTATAAAGAATTTTTTTATTCAGGGACTTATATTAGACACAGAATTGGAAAACTTCCACCATTCGGAAGGAACTTGAAATATTTAAAAAAAAAATCCGGGGGATATACCAAGACGTGGTGCTGGATAAGAAAATTTCTGCCATAGGCTGTAGTACCGATTCCGAACTTCAAATACGAAATTTGAAACAATTCCGATGAAAAATGTCCCTAATATTATCAAAATACCCAATATACCAAAAATACAATACAGCTTGAGAACAATATTATAAAAATATAATTTTTCAACAATGCTTGAGAAACACTTATGTTCCACAAACATTTCTCAAATCTGTCCCTTGTTGATAAATTAGTTTTGATTTTTTGTGAAAATTGTCAGCAAGAAATTATTTTCTTTGGCAAAAAACAAAATCACGCGAATTTAGGACCCATTTGTGGACCGAACCCTTAAGGTATGGATGAATAATAAATCCGGGAATCTTTCACATAAATTATTCCAATCCCATTTCAGATTGGAAGCATCAAAAAAGTTGCAGGAATTCAATAAATGTGTAGTCTTAGTGGAAGAGATGCAGAAGTTCAAATAAGGGAGAAGAAAGCGTCAGGGTATCAAGGCCACATGCGGCAGTGACTACTGGGATGTCCATCAAGAAAAAACGTTAAAAATGATTAAAAACTAAAAAAAATAATATTTTATACTATTACAAAAATAAGCTTATTATAATATTATTTTTGTAAGCTTATTCTACAATTTCAAGTATAAGCTTATAAATAAGGGTTCCGTTTCGATTATTCTATACTTGTTATACAAACATTTTTCAATGTTTTCTCAAGATTTTCTCAAGCTTTAGGCTTATGTTCATAAGCTTATTGTAATATTATTCTCAAGCCATTTTGGTATGTTGGGTACCGAATAAAGGAAGGTACGGTTGTGTGTGGGCTATACTAATACGTGGACCTGCATACATAATTTTCCATCATAGATTGTAGTACCCATTACGAACTTCAAATACGAAGTTTGACACAATTCCGTTGAATAATGTTGAGAAAATCCTAGAAATACCGAATATCTCGGGGTACCATTATATGATGGCTATACTAAAATGTAGACCTATATAGACAATTCTCTTCCAGGGAGTAAAGTACCCACAAAGAACTCCTTGTGTAGAATTTCAGACAATGTCATTGAAAAATGTGGCTAAAATCATCAAAATGCCGAATGTCAGGAGGTACAGTTATTTGGGGGGCATTCGATATCGTGGACCGACGTACACAAAAGACTGATCTGTGCAAAATTTTAGCTCTCTATCTTTATTCGGTTTGACTCTAGCGTGATTACAACAGACGGACGAACGGAAAGGCCTAAATCGTTTTAGAATTCTACGCTGATCACGTGAAATTCTAAGACGATTTATCCCTGACCGTCTGTTGTAATCACGCTAGAGTCAAACCGAATAAAGATAGAGAGCCAAGTTTCGTATTTGAATATTGTAATGGCTTATGACAAAAGTTGCCTATGTAGATCAACGTGTTCCTATAGACCCCTATAAAACAGGTATTTTTAAGATTTTAATAAAATTTGTAAGGTATTTTATTTTTTGAAAATTTCCAAATTTCTTCCAAAGGAAGAAAATGAATACCCTTACTGGGTATTCCAGTAAGGCCGAACTTACTGCTTTTTTACATGTTTTATTATTATTTTTTTCAAAATTCCCATACTGGGAAAAATTACAAAACATGAATGGAATGTTTGGGTTATTCCACAAAATTGACTCTAAGACAGTAGGATAATACTGTTTTATCCAAAAAATTACAAAATTACATATGCGTTTCTGTTGCAGCTAAATTTGAAAATTTTTAATTTCTTTTTCTTTTTTTTTAAACAATACACACATTTCCAAGCTGTGTATATGTTTAGAAAGAATAGGGGTACCAATAGAAAAAAGTGCCTTTAGGAAGTTGCTTTATTATACCTTCTGTAATTATACCATGGCTCTGGCCAAATTCAATACAGTTCTTAGAATTTCTATTTCTAATTTTGCCATTGCCTACAACACTAAAATAAAGATATTATTTTTCTCTTTCTTTGCAGCTTTCAAATATGCCATAACAGGATATATCGAATATGTCTTCATCTATTTTAAAAACTGGCTAACAAGTGGTTAAAAATAATAGAGGTTATTCAAAATATTCCACCCAAAGTAATGACAACAATTCCACAAAGATGCCAAATTTAAAATTAAATGTATTAAAGAAGCAAAAAAAAAAAAAAAACTCAAATCACATTGTCTTACGAATTTATTAGCAATCAATTAACTTCCATCAAAATTAAATACCAAAAACCCTTGCTCCATAAATGTGATTGAACATTTAAATATGCAATATTTCAAATTATATTTAAAAATGTTCAACAACATTTAGGGACTTGCATAGAAATATTGAGTTTTCCATGTCAACTATACAGAAAATTGTGGAAAATCAACTATACAAAAATTGTGAAAAGCCCTCTGTGTACGTCCCTGTAGGGAATATTATATATAAAATACGATTGAGAAATACATGAATGAAAAGGAAGAAATATTACTAAAAACAGATTGTAGAAGGTAAGAACATAATGCTGTGATTATTGTTGGCCGATATAGCAGTTTTCAGATTAAGTATCTAACAAAGAATGTGTTTTCTGTAAATGCATATGTATATAAGTATGTACCTAAAATTTGATAGGTAAATTATAGTAATCAACATGAATGGTTAACGAATTTATTGTGCTGTGTAACACTAAACATTGAAAAAGAAAACTTCTATTGGACATGGTAGATATTTAGAAAAATTAATTGAATATTATGGTCACGTTTAATTTCAGAACTTTGTAGGATCAAAGTTATTAAAACGACGTTTTGACCATAGAATTTAGAGGGTATTTAAACAAGCAAATGCTGAGGCTAATTTATTACATTCGATATCGAACAAACTTCGATGAAAATAAATTTTTGTATGCATGTTTTAATTTTATCAAATGAACGTTTATACCCTACAAACTCTATGTGTTGGGGGTATTATAAATTTGATTGGGCCAAAAATTATGTAACACCTCGAAATGTTGGTTTCCCACATAGGAAAGTATACAGGGTGAGATAAAAAAATCTGGACAAAGTCAAACGCCATAATTTTTATTTATTTTTTTAAATTTTATTGAATGAAAGCAAAAAATGTCGGAAAGAGCATCAAATTTTAAAAAGAGTTTAAATAAGATAGATAAGTTTATTTTTTTTCGTGCCAACCTTGCTTTCCAGACACAATAGTCCAACGGATTGGTATTCGGAGATTTTGGTGGACATTGTGTGCTGGAAATGAAGCGAGGAACCTCATTTTTAACCATTCTTGGGTGGTGCATGCTGAGTGCGATGGTGCTGAATTCTGCTGGAATGTTCAAGGTCTGCGGCAAAAATGTTTGCATGCCCAAGGCTAAGACACCCTCAAAAATATTTTCGCGTTAATATTCGGTCTTCATTCTGATGCCACGGTCAATTAATACCAGCGGAGAGCGACCATCGGCTGTTATGGGGCCCACACCATCCCCATGGCCGGCACTTGAGTTCTGGTGGCCAACCGAAGGTGCACATTTTCAGCTGACCTCTTTGGCAAGTAAACACGATCACTTTCAACCAAGCGAAGCAACTCTTTAGCTCTTTTGAGTCTATTTTCTTTCTGTTGCGGTGTAAGTTCTTGCACTTTTTTGAATTTCAATGACTTTACCCCGAGCTCATTTTTCAATATTTACCGAATGGAATATTGTGACATGTTCAGATTACGAGCCATTTTTCGGCCCCTGCGACGCGGGTTCGATCAAGTCGCTTCTTTACTTTCTGCTGATGTTGATGTTTTCCTCTGTTCACTTCCTTGACGTCGGGCTACGCTACCAGTATCATGGCAACAAGCGATGGTACGAGACACAAAAGATTTATTCACATTTAAATGCTGGAGTGCTCTAATGAAAGCCACTTGTGGTGTTCCAGCCAAAAATTTGAAGAAATCACCTCAAGTTTGAACTCCATCACGAATAACTTTTTTTTTCTGGAAAATTCGCACTAAAATGCTTTTGTACGCTTCAAACAATATAATGAGCTGTCACTGGAATAATTTTAACAGCTGTCGGACGAGTGGCTTATAAATGACAGCAGTCTGAAGTTGGTTGCAGTTTTTTATCTCACCCTGTATACGGATCTTCCTCTCTCGCCGAGTTGAGTCGATTTAGCTATGTATATCCGTCCGTCCCTCTGTTCGTCTGTCAATGTTAATTTGTAACACGCTACAGGTCGCAATTGTGGCCCGATCCTCACGAAATTTATCATGGAGGTGGGGCTAGGGTCAGAATAGAAGCCTGTTGCTTTTGGAAATGATCGCATAATACTTAGAGGTTGAAATGGAGCAAAGTTGCACTGCAGGTCGTAATAATAGCCCAATCGACGCGGAAGTTAGCATGGGGCTAGAGCTTAGGGCTGGGCAGAAGCCTTCCAATTTTGATGGTCATCATTTAATGGGTGAAATAGACCATAACAATTATGTTAAATAAAAGTCAAATTTTCCATTGAACCTCGACTATTTTTAATCCCGTCAAAATCACTAATAGACGAAAAGGTCAATTCTGATCGTTACTTAGATGCCGAAAGTAAATATCGGATATATTTATAGCGAAATATATACAATGTGTATATACAAAGGAAGGGGATGTTAGCTAGAATGCTTGTATCTCAAGATTTTGATTGATTTTGGCAAATTTTGTCAATTCAGAATGCCCTTTGGTATAAAAGAATGAAATAAAAAAAAAAAAAAAACATAAAAAGGCGCCAATAATGATGTTAATATAGATTTTGTAGTATTTTGTGACATAATTTCATATTTTTTATCGCATGCGATTTTTTCAATTTGACTTATAATAGTGAAGTGTACATTTTATAATATTTTTTCACTCACAACACATCGTCCTATCCTCACGAAAATTTTAATAAGTGTAGGGTCAGCCTCTGAAGGGCTAGGCCTGTTGTTTTTAAAGATGTTCGCAATACATTTAGGGGTGGAAATGAACCAACAACTAAAAATATTCCAAATATCGTGGACAAGCAAATCATATAGATGAATCTAAATTTGGAGATACAGAGGGGCCTCTAGCTTTTGGAGATGATCGCAAAATATTTTGGTGTTCATGAATGAACCAAAAAGAGAAAAATTTTCCTGATAACACAATTGAAACCAATCAACACGGAATTTTGCATAAGAAGAGAGTTAAGGACAGGGAAGAAGTCTAGCATTCTGGATGACAATTGGATTATATTTAGCTGTCAAATGGACCGCAACAACTAACAGCACGACAGAGTACATAAATATTGGGTAAATGTCCCTGGTAACATTACATAATTTCAAAAGCGAAATCTTCCAAAATGGATTTGGACATAAGGGGTCTTCTAACACATAGTAGTGTTGTAGGGTATAAAATGGTCGGCCTCGCACGACTACAGCCTTTGCGTACTTGTTTTATAATAACAGCTCTAATTATCGATCATTGATACTAAATAAATGCAAACATAAAACAAATACATTCAAATTAATTTCGACGGCAATTTTTTGATATCGAATTCAAAAATTAGGCCCCTCTTCTCTGAACATTACCGAATGTAAGTGTTTTGGCACTTCATGGTTTCGGAAATGTTGCACAGTTTAATATACTA